TGTAGAAGAATTGATGCCTTTGAGTTGTGGTGTTGGAGGAGAATACTAAAAGTGCCATGGACTGCCAAAAGAACCAATAAATCTATTTTGGAAGAAGTGCATCCAGAGTGCTCCTTGTAGGCCAGAATGGCTAAGCTTTGTCTCTCATACTTTGGACATATTGTCAGGAGACAACAGTCGCTGGAGAAGGATGTCATGCTGGGTAAGATGGAGGGCCAGAGAAAAAGAGGAAGACCACCAATGAGATGGATCAGCCAGGTGGCATCATTGATGGTGTCAAGTGTGGCAGCAGTTGTCGGTTTGGCACAGGATCGGATATTGTTTCGTTCTGCTGTGCATGGGGTCACTATGAGTTGGTTCTGACTCGATGGCACCTATCAACAACAACAACAACAACTTCTGAAAATGTCTAAGAAAAAAACAACAAAAGATCTCAGCATATGTCCAAAAACAGAAAAGAGTAACTAAGACAAATGAGGTGGAGGCAGATATAGACTCCCCAATAGAGCAAGAGGAGGCTTTAGATCTGCCTGAGAAGGAATTCAGAAGATTGATATGGAGACAAATTCAATTCAAATGCTCCACAGAGTGGTCAAGGAAAATAAGGAAGAAGTCAGGAAAGTACTACAGGAGAAATCAAACAAGATAAATATAGCATTGGAAATAATTCCAAACCTGCAAAAAGAGGTCCAGATGATTAATAATAAAATATCAGAAATGGACAATACACTGAAAGGGCAAAGGAGTAAAAATGAAGTGATGGAAATAAGAACCAGCGAACTGGAAGACAAATCTCTCAATACTGCTAAGATAGAAGAGCAAGCAGAAAAAAAAGGATAAAAAAATCAGAAGAGAGTCTAAGATTCATGCTGGATAACATGAAGAGGAATAACTTAAGAATTATTGGCATTCTGGAACAGAATGAATCACAGAAGTCCACAGAGGAGATAGTTGAGAAGCTGATGGAAGAAAACTTCCCTAACATCTTAAAGGATGAGAATATAAACATTCAAAAAGCTGAACGAACCCCAGGAAGGTTAGATTCCAAAAGAAAATCACCAAGACATATCATACTCATGCTCTCCAAAATCAAAGACAAGGAGAGAATTCTAAAAGCATCCAGGAAAAAGAGAAGTGTTACCTGCAAAGCCAAGCAACTCAGATTAAGCTCTGACATCTCAGCAGAAACCATGCCAGCAAGAAGGCAATAGGGAGATATATATAAATTCCTAAAAGAAAAAAAAACAACAACTGCTAACCAAGAATCGTCTATCCATCAACACTGTCCTTAAAATACAATGCTACAATCAAAACATTCCAGGATAAGCAGAAGCTAAGAAATTTTGTCAAAGCCAATCCTTCACTTCAAAACAACCTAACAGGAGTTCTTTGGAATGAAAACCAACAAGAACAAACAACCAGAGATTGACAGATATGGCAACACCACCTGGAACTCAGTCAACAAATAGCAGAGTTCAGAACAGAACAAAATTACAAGAACAAATTCAGAGGACCTGCAAGGCCAATTAAAGATCAAAATATCAACAATGTCAAAGAAGGGAAAAACATAGGAATAGAGATCCAGGTGTTGGGGAGGTCAGGTAGATTGCAGGATACAATTGTTGTTGTTGTTAGGAGCCATTGAGTAAGCACCGACCCATAGTGACCTTATGCACAGCAGATTGAAACACTGTCTGATCCTGGGCCAATATCCCTCATGAATATACATGCAAAAATTCTCAACAAAATCTTAGCCAACAGAATCCAGCAGCATGTCAAAAAAATAATACATCATGATCAAATGGGATTCAATTCAGAAATGCAGGGAAGGTTCAACATCAGAAAAACAATCAATGCAATCCACCAAAGAAATAAGAAAAAAGAAAAGAACCACATGATCATATTGATTGATGCAGAAAAGGCATTTGACAAAATCCAACATCCATTCCTAATAAGAACACTCAACAAAGTAGGAATTGAAGGGAAATTCCTGACCATAATTAATAGCATATATGCAAAACCAATAGCTTAAGTTACTTTCAATGGAAAGAAACTGAAAACCTTCCCTCTGTGAGCAAACATGAACCAGAAAAGGATGCCTTTTGTCACCACTCCTATTACATATTGCCCTGGAAGTCTTAGCAAGAGCTATACGGCAAGATAGGGAAATCAAAGGCATCCAAATTGGCAAAAAGGAAGTAACATTCTCTTTATTTGCAGATGATATGATCCTATACATAGAAAACCCCAAAGATTCAGTAAAAAAGGTACTAGACCTCATTGGAAGATTCATCAAAGTGGCAGGCTATAAGATCAACATGCAAAAATCAGTTGGATTCCTCTACAGTAACAATGACAGCGCTAAGATGGACATTAAGAACGCAATACCATTTACAATAGCCGCCCAAAGGATGAAATATCTAGGAATAAATGTAACCAGAGAATCAAAGTCTCTATGCAATGTAAACTACAGAACACTACTACAAGACACCAAAAGAGACTTGCAAAAATGAAAGAATATACCATGCTCCTAGATAAGAAGACTCAACAATGTGAAAATGTTAATACGACCCAAAACAATTTACACATATAATGCAATCTCAATCCATATTCCAACAACATTCTTCAAAAAGATGGAAAAAACAATTACAAACTTTAAGTGGAAAGGAAAGAGACCCAGGATAAACAAAGCACTGCTTAAGAAGAAGAACAAAGTTGGAAACCTCTCACTCCCTGACTTCAAAATTTACTACATGGCTACAGTGGTCAAAGCAACCTGGTACTGGTACAATGAAAGATATATTAATCAATGGAACAGAATTGAGAATCCAGAAATTAATCCATCCACATAAAGCCAACTGATCTTCAACAAAAGTGCCTAAGTATATTGCATGGGGAGGAGATGGTCTCTTCAACAGATGGTGCTGGCCAAACTGGAAAGAGAGATGCAAAAGACTGAAACAAGACCTTTACTCACGCCATATACAAAAACCAACACAGCATGGATAAAAGACCTAAATGTGAATTCTATAATTCTAAAGGCCATCAATGAAAAACTAGGGACAAATGTGAGGGCTGTAATACAGGGAACACCAAGACCACCAAACATTTTGAAAAGTACATAAACAAAAGTGGACAAAATAGATGATTGGGATATACTAAAAATTGAAAACTTATGTTCATCAAAAGTCTTCACCAAAAGAGTAAAAAGGGAGCCCACAGAATGGGAAAAAAATATTTTGCAGTGACACATCAGACAAGGGACTAGTTTCTAAAACATATAGGAAACTACAACACCTTTACAAGAAAAAGACAAATAACCCAATTTAAAAATGGGCACAGGACATGAACAGACAATTCACTAAGGAGGAAATCCAGGCAGCCAACAAACATATGAAGAAATGTTCACAACCACTAGTCATTAGAGAGATGCAAATCAAAACAACAATGAGCTATCATCTTTCACAAGCAATAACAGCAAAGATAAAAAATGTAGAGGACAATAAATGCTGGAGAGGATGTGGAGAGACTGGGACCCTCCTACATTGCTGGTGGGATTGCAAAATGGTCCAACCTCTCTGAAAAATAAATAAATAAATAAACCTCAAAAGGTTGGAAATAGAGATACCTTATGATTCAACAATTCCTCTACTTGGCATTTATCCACATGAAATACGATCCATAACCCGAGTACTGTATGCAGGAGAGGAGGGCCCTGGGACCATTAAGGGAGAAGAGTGGAGTGTGGGACCCTACCCAGAGAAGCAGCACTGCCAGAGACGGAGGCAGAGACGATGATGTGGAGAGATGGAGTGGCTGGGGACTCTGGGAGGGTGAGGATCTGGTATTGATGGCTTGCGGGGTGTACCCTTTGGTTGTTTGATGATGCATGCAGCGAATTATAATTATTGCAATGAATCGGAATAAGATAGAATGAATGTAAAGCTAATATTCTCCCATGTAAACTATCACATAATTCACAATAAAAACTTAAAGAAATAAAAAAGCTAGTGGAACTTTAAGAGTTGGCTCCACTTCATGTTCACCTCTGTATGCTGCCCATGTCTCCTCTTATGTATGTTACATTGTTGGTACTAAATAAGAACAACATTTAAGACTGTGCCTACTTGATAATCCATTAAAAATGAAAAGCAGAAGTCAATCAAAAAATAATTTAAAGTCTGCAATAGGCAAAATCATAAAATGTGTTTACAAAAATGGTAATAGAAGTAATACACATATCGCTTATAGAAACTGGAATAAAAACTGTTTAGATACAAGTGGAAAAAATAATTTATTACAGATTCTTATACACATTAACATGGAACATTTATACACATACTGATGTGCTTATACGGAATACTCAGTTTTATGACAAATGTTTTTTCACAAAAGTAGCTGCACTATATTTTTAAAAGATTATTAATAAATTATCAGAGACATCTGTAAAAACAACAGGGTAATTATTCCAATAGTAATTCCTTCTAGATTGAAATTAAACCAACTTTTCTGAACATGGTGCCTTGGATATAATTACATTCTTTTAAACCAAGAAAAAAAAATAATTTCTATGGAAAAAAAAAAAAAAAGACCAGGAAAAATCCAGATGGGGTATTTTAGGAGTGTTTTTGTAGCTTGGTTCTTACATTTGGTTAGAGCCCCTAACATTTAGCCCAAGCCAATATGACACAGTGCAGCTTTCTATGGCAGCTGCATGGGATTAATGCGATCAATAATAGAGGGATGCAATACAAATGACAGTACTTTAGAGGAATTGTAATTACAATGGGATCTGAATGAATAACCAAATAACTGAAATGTATATTCCATATTTCTGAAGGAAAAATTAAAAAAAAACAAAACAACTTCAAAATGGTTACTGTATTCTTATCATAGTATATTAACTCTTACTCTGGGAGCTTGAAAATAAACTGTCTTTTCCGTAACACTTATAATTCACTGCTTTAGAAAATGATATTCCTAATGATATACACCAACATTATATAAACTTTGTTATATGCTACAGTCATTAAAATATATATATAGATAGATAGGTAGATATATACATACATATCTAAAGAGCACTAAACAGATTGACAAACCATGCTATGCAAACACATGGCCAAAAACTGTTCAGTTTCATTTAATTAAGTTAAACAAATATTGATTGGGTGTCTACTACTTGCAAGTCACCATGCTGGGTCATGCTTGTAGTAGATTTTCAGACACATTAAGTTTACATCATCTACATATAAAGCCAAACTTTAGAGATACTTAGAAAATATGCTATAACCTTAAATAACATAATCAAAAGCTCAGCTCAAGTTGAATAATGAATAGTGAGAGTTATACCTATGAGAAAGGCTCAGGATAATTAAAAATGATTGTGCAAAATATGTATCCATATGGATGGAATAATTGCTACTAGGCTTGGCACGTGTTCGGGACAACTGGAACCTAATCTGCAGTCCTTCTTCATCCCATAATCCAAGATTCAGAAGTCGTCCTGCTTTGTTTCCTTAAAAATGTACAAGAAATAAGGAATTAATTGTCACCAATAATACAGCTAGCTATTCAAACCAACAAAACCAAGGCTATTGCCACTGAGTCAATTCCAACTCCTAGCAACTCCATAGGACACAGTAGAACTGCTCCATAGGGTTTTCTTGTCTGTAATCTTAATAGAAAGAGACTGCCAGGGCTTTCTTCTCTGGTGACACTGGGTGGGATTACAATGCCAACCTTTTGATTAGTCGTGGTGGTGGTGGTGGTGGGTGGCCACTGAGTCAGTTCTGACTCACAGAGACCCTGTATAGGATCTCCAAGGCTGTAAACCTTTACAGGAGCAGAAAGTCTCATCTTTTTCCTACAAAGCAGCTAGTGTATTCAAACTGCTTGTGCTACCCAGGGTTGTTCAATTACAGATCATTGTAGTAATGTAAATGCCACAATAAAGCGAACCAAATGAATCCTTTTTTGTTTGCTATTTCCTAGTGCGTAGTCTCCTAGTATGGACTCCTGGTGCAGAGATGTAGGCTTAGCACTGGACTGCAAACCACAAGGTAGGCAGTTTAAATCCAACAGCTGCTCTTCGGAAAACCTACACAGGGTCAGTATGTGTTGGAACAGACTCAATGGCACTTAACAACAACAAGTGTGAATATAAGAACTTTTGATAAGGTACTGTAGGATTAGCACTGAACTGTAAAACACAAGGTCGTCAGTTCAAACCCACCAGCTGCTCCTCATAAATCCTATACAGGGTCAGTATGAGTTGGAACTGACTCAAAGGCATTTAACAACAACAGTGCATATAAAAGTTATGTTTACGCTATACTATACAGTCTATTAAGTGTGCAGCAGTATTGTGAAAAAGTATGAAATGGAGTGAGGATTACCAAAACGTGGCACACAGGTATGGAGTAAACACATGCTGTTGAAAAAATGGTATTGATAGACTTGCTTTAAAAAGGGTTGCCACAAACCCTCAATATACAAATTCAATTTATAAAAGAAATGCTATATCTGCAAAGCACAATAAAGAGAGACATTATAAAACATGAGGTATGCCCATACGCCCCCTTTATGATAGCATGATATTCATTGATCTTGATAGGCTTTGTTAATATGGTCAGAATCATTCCCACTATAATTGTAAATTAAACAGGGCCTATTAACTAGAACTCTGATAACGTAGTGGTTAAGAATCGGGCTGCGAACCGCAAGGTCAGCAGTTCGAAACTACCAGCTGTTTCACGGGAGAAAGATGAGGCTTTGTGCTCCTGTAAAGATTTACAGCCTCGGAAACCCTGTACAGGGTCGCTGTGAGTCAGAACCGACTCCATGGCACATAATCACCAACCATTAACTAGAATGATCAACATTTGAAGTACAGTTTGATTTACCAGAAGAACATTTGTAAGCATGCCAAATGTGGACAAATTATTTAAAATAAAACCATCTAAAAGAAAATAAAGGTAAATATGTGTAATTTAGCATTCACCTTAGGATTTATTATATTTTTAAAACATTTTAAAGAAATGTATAGAAGCATAAAAAGAAATAACATCAAGTAAGTCTCATCTCCTCTGAAGAACCAATGCATCAACAGGCACAAAGTAATAAACTTGTTTATGATGCAACACATCATGGGGGTAGGGGGGGGAGGTCAGCATGATTTTAGTGATTACAATCCCGCTGTGTGTCACATGATTCCAGTTTGGACATTCTGTTATCTGAGGTTCACTCGAGCACATGAGTTCCAGCTGGAGTACAACCGTATTGCTGGCAAGAACCTAAAGCTTCCCCATAGAATTGTTTAGATTCTGACCAATGATACTTCACTCTTCTCTCTAGAAGAAACACATAAGGGACTAGGATTTTCCAAGACTCCCAAATATTCCACAGGAAGATATACCAGGGCACTTTCAAAGATCTCATAGAAAAATGGAATCAAACAATAATGGAATTTTTCTACAACCTTTTAAGCCCTCTTCTGTTGGTCCTTGGAGTCCTGGTGTGGCACTGTAGGATAAGCACTAAACCACAAAGTCAGTTTGAACTGGAAGGTCTGTGGTTCAGATCTATCAGCAGCTTCTCAAAAACCCTATACAGGGCTCTACAAGTTGGAAATGACTCAACAGCACTGAACAGCAACAACTGGTCCTTGGAAGGATCATAAGCTTCAGAGATAAGAAATCTCCTGTGATCTGCAACCTGGACTTAGCCCTCATAATGCGCTTGAAACAGTTTTTGAGGCAGGGGACCAGTAGTCCCCTCATAGCCCATTTAACTTAATGGCATTTGAGCCAGATTACAGAGGAAGAGAAAAAAACAGATCTCCTAGATCTAGTGTTTTAAGCTTTAATTTCCCTAGAGGATAAAAGCTGGCAACCATAAAATGTCTCCTACACAATCTTTATTAAGTGCTCATTAATTTCCACTGCCTAAGAGTTAATGTCTGTAGGCAAGAATTCTTTTCAAATGAAACATTTTTTTGGTGATTCTGATTTAACTTCCATATTTATACTGTCTTAAAAAAGAGAATCACTCTCTGATTAGTCATACCTCTGTTCCTGTATTTTTTCTGGATAGAAACCAAACTTGCATTGGTTCTTTTTTGCCCTTCATGGACACTGGCCCTCTGTGCTCCAAATGGAATTGTGGATCTGAATTTTCTGGTGTCATAAGACATCTAAAAGACAGGAAGGGGACAGACAGTAGGAAGAAAATCACACAAAGAGTGTAAGGAGAATGTGACAAGTACCAAAGACATAAATTGAGACAAGGACAGCCTGCATTTAAAGAGAACTGAAGACTTTAGTAATAATTTCTATGGTGGTGTGGAACCATTCAAAATGGAAACAAAGACCCAATCTTTTCAAACAAATGTATGTAAATTCTAAGCCAGGACGTGATGACTGTTTAAAGGCAATACAATCAATCACTCAGCGATTTCAACTCCTACCAAGACACATTTCACTTGTAAGTCAGTAAATACCAAAACAATTAATCTTACCTGTATGTATATTCAGACACATTTATTTTCCCTTTTTCTCCAGTGGTCTCTGTTCTGCTTGTTAGGTTAACAGTATTCCCAAAAAGACAGTACCGAGGCATCCTCTGTCCTATGACACCTGTAACTACTTCTCCAGTATGTATTCCTATTGTTATCTGCAGAAATAAAAGGTTTTCTTCAATAATTTTTATCAGTAACACACTAACTTTTGCTTACATTCTATTATAGAATAAGAGAGATTCATCATTTAAAAAAAACTTTAAAAAAATCATGTGAATTCTTTAGAAGAATGCCAAATATGTCACAAAACAATAAAAAAAAACCCTCACAAAAGTTCTATCTTCTAAAAGAAACAGTATCCTTCTAAAGTCCGTCAGTTTGTTGTACTTCGGTGGTTTACATGTTGCTGTGATGCTGGAAGATATGGCACCAGTATTTTTAAATACTGTCAGTGTCACCAGTGGAGGACAGGTATCAGCGTAGCTTCCAGACTAAGAAAGACTAGGAGGAAGGAAAGGCAGACTGCTTCTGAAAGGTGAGCTACTGAAAACCTTTTGAATAGCAGAGGAATATAGTGCTGGAAGATGAAAACATTATGAATAGTAGTAGAACATTGTCAGATATATAGCCAGAAGATGAGTCCTTCAGATTGGCAGGAAGTCAAAATGTGACTGGGGAAGAGCTGCCTCCTCAAAGTTGTTAACTGTCATGGAGTCAATTCTGAATCACAGTGACCCTGCTGACTGCTTAGCAGTCCAGTGCTTAACTGGCTGTGACATACTAAGTATCCTCCTTCTCGAAGTACAGTTCACCATATTGATATAACTGGAGTAAAGCTTTCAGGACCTTCATTTTCTGATGGGGTACAACTCAAAATGAGAATAAATAGCTATCAACATCCATTAATAATTAGAACATGGAATTTATGGAGTATGAGTTTAGGAAAACCAGAAGTTGTCAAAAATAACATGAATACATAACTATCGATATCTTAGTCATTAGTTAGCTGAAATAGACTGGTATTGGCCATTTTGAATCTGCTAATCTTATTGTATACTATGTTAGAAACTGCATATTCAAGAGGAATCGCATTACATTCATCATCAAAGAGAACATTTCAAGATCAGTCTTGGAGTACAATGTTGTCTGTGATAGAATAATATCCATATGCTTATAATGAAGACGAGTTAATACCACTGTTATTCAAGTTTATGCATCCTCTACTAAAGCCAGTGATGATAAAATTGAAGAACTCTACCAACTTCTTCTGTTTGAAATTGATCAAACATATAATTCATATGCATTGATAATGACTTGTGATTAAATGTGAAAGTTGGAAACAAAGAGTAAGGGCCCATAGTTGGAAAATATGGCAATAGTTGGTGATAGAATAGATGCTGGAGAACACGTATAGAATTCTGTAAGCGCAAACACCTTTTTCAAATAGCATAGAAGGCAACTGTATACCTGGATCTCACCAGATGCAATACATAGGAAACAAATTGACTAAATCTGTGGGAAGATACAGTGGAGAAGCTCAAGATCATCAGCCAAAACAAGGCCAAGGGCAGATGGTAGAACAGAACATCCATCAACTACTCATATGAAAGTTCAGGCAGAAGTTGAAGAAAATTAAAATAAATACATGGGAACCAAAATATGACTCTGCATATGTCCCACCTGAATTTAGATACCATCTCAAGAACAGATTTGATGCACTAGACACTAACAACGGAAGACCAGAAAGTTATGGGATGACATCAAGAACATGATACAGAAAGTAAGCAAAGGGCATTAAGAAGACAAGAAAGAATGTAAAAACTAAAATGGATGTTAGAAAACACTCTGAATCTTCCTTTTGAGCATAAAAGAAGCTAAAGCAAAAGGAAAAAAAAAAATGAGGAAGTCAAAGAGCTGAATGGAAAATTTGAAAAGGCAGCTTGAGAAGACAAAGTCAAGTACTATAATGAAATGTGAAAAGACCTAGAATTAGTAACTTGTAACCAAAAGGGAAAATTTGGAAGACAACTATCTGGCCGACTGATTGGAAGAGATCCATGTTTGTGCCCATTCCAAAGAGAGGTGACCCAACGGAATGCAGAAATCATCGGACAATCTCTTTGATATCTCAAGCGAGTAAAGTTTTGCTAAAGTAATTCAGAAACGGCTACAATCATACATTGACAGAGAACTTCCAGAGGTTCAAGGTGGATTCGGAAGAGGCTGGGAAACGAGAGATATCATTGCTGATGTCTGGTGGATCTTGGCTGAAAGCAGAGAATATCAGAAAGATGTTTACCTATCCTTTATTGACTATGCAAAGCTTTCGATTGTGTGGATCATGACAAGCTATGGGCAACACTGAGAAGTATGAGTACTCCAGAACACTTAATTGTACTTCTGAGAAATCTGTACCTGGACCAAGAAGCAGTTGTGTGAACAGAGCATGGGAACACTGAGTGTTTTAAAATTGGGAAAGGTGTGCGACAAGGTTGTGTTCTTTTACCATACTTATTCAACCTGAATGCTGAGCAAATAATACAAGAAGCTGGGTTCTATGAAGAAAAACATGGCATCAGGATTGGAGGAAGACTCATTAACAACCTGCGATATACAGATGATACAACCTTGCTTGCTGAAAGTAAAGAGGACTTGAAACATTTACTGATGAAGATCAAAGAACACAGTCTTCAGTATGGGTTGCATCTCAATGTCAGAAAAACAAAAATCCTCACCACTGGACCAATAAACAACATTCTTATCAACGGAGAAAAGATTGAAGTTGTCAAGGACTTCATTCTTCTTGGATCAACTGTCAACACTCATGGAAGCAGCAGTCAAGAGATCAGACGACGTATTGCATTGGGCAAATCTGCTGCACAGGAACTTTTTAAAGTGTTGAAGAGCAGAGATGTCAGTTTAAGGATTAAGGTGAGCCTGACCCAAGCCATGGTATTTTCAGTAACCTCATATGGATGCGAAAGCTGGACAGTGAATAAGGAAGACCGTAGAAGAATTGATGCCTTTGAGTTGTGGTGTTGGAGGAGAATACTAAAAGTGCCATGGACTGCCAAAAGAACCTATAGATCTGTTTTGGAAGAAGTGCATCCAGAGTGCTCCTTGTAGGCCAGGATGGCTAAGCTTTGTCTCTCATACTTTGGACATATTGTCAGGAGAGAACAGTCGCTGGAGAAGGATGTCATGCTGGGTAAGATGGAGGGTCAGAGAAAAAGAGGAAGACCCCCAACGAGATGGATTGGCCAGGTGGCATCATTGATGGACTCAAGTGTGGCAGCAGTAGTGAGGTTGGCCCAGGATCGGACATTGTTTCATTCTGCTGTGCTTGGGGTCACTATGAGTCGGTTCCGACTCGATGGCACCTGACAATAACAACAACAACAAACAAACGGGAAAGGCATGCTTAGTATTTCTCATGCTGAAATAACTGCAGAACAAAATTCAAGCCTTGACTTGAAATATTGAAGGATTCTATGGGCAAAATATTAAATGATTCAGAAAGCTTTAAAAGACGATACAAGGAATACACAGCACAGTTATTATGCCAAAAAGATATGGTCAATGTTTAACCATTTCAAAAGGCACCATATGATCAAGAACCAATAGTACTGAAGGAAAAAGTCTAAGCTGCACTGAAAGCACTGATGAAAAATAAGGTTCCAATAATTGATAGAAAATAAATTGAAATCTTTCAACAAATTAATAGAGCCATGGAGGTGCTTACCCATGCCAAGACAACTACCTGGCCAACCAATTGGAAGAGATTCATATTTGTGCCCATTCTAAACAGAAGTGATGAAATTGAATGCAAAAATCATTTAAAATTATTAATATCAAACGCAGTTAAATTTTTGCTTAAGATAATTCAAAAACGATTGCAACAATATATCAACATGCAACTGCTAGAAATTTAAGCTGATTTAGAAGAGGATGTGGAGTGAGACTGTCATCAGGTGGATCTTGGCTAAAAGTATAAAATACCTGAAAAATGTTTGGCTGTGCTTTATTGACTATGCAAAGACTTTCAACTGTGTGGACTGTGGCAAACTACAGATGACATTACAAAGAATGGCTATTCCAGAACATTTAACTGTGCAATTGAGGAACTGTATACAAACCAAGAGGCAGTTGCTAGAACAGAACAAGGGAATACGGAATGGTTTAAATCTAGGAAAGGTGTGTTCCAGAGTTGTATCCTCTCACTATACTAATTATATCTGTACATTGAACAAATAATATGAGAAACTGGATTATATGAAGAAGAATATGGCATCAGGACTCGGGGAAATTTCATTAATAACCTGTGATATGCAGATGTCACAACCTTGCTTTCTGAAAGTGAAGAGGATTTAAAATACTTACTGATGAAGATCAAAGACCACAGCCACCAGTTTGGATTACATCTCAAAATACAGAAAACAAAAATCCTTTCAACAGGATCGATAAATAACATCATGATAAATGGAGAAAATATTGATGTTATCAAAGACTTCATTTTGCTTGATTCCTCTATCAACACTCATAGAAGCAGAGTCAAGAAATTAAACAACATTTGCATTAGGCAAATCTGCTGCAAAAGACTTCTTTAAAGAGCAGAGATGTCAATTTGAGGACTAAGGTGTGGTGGTGCAAGCCATGGTATTTTCAGTGATCTCATATATATGTTAAAATTGGACAATAAACATGGATGTTTGGAGAAAAATTTATGCATTTGAATTATGGTATTAGAGAAGAATATTAAAGGTACCATGGACTACCACAATAACAAACAATCCTATCTTAGAAGTACACCCAGTATACTCCCTAGAAGTGAGGAGAACTAGAGATGAAGTCCCTCCTACTTCAAGTATGTTATTGTTGTTGTTGTTAAGTGCCGTCGAGTCGGTTCTGACCCATAGCGACCCTGTACAGGGTTTCCGAGGGTGTAAATCCTTACGGGAGTAGAAAGCCTCATCTTTCTCCCGCGGAGAGGCTGGTAGTTTCGAACCGCTGACCTTAAGGTTCGCAGCCCGATTCGTAACCACTACGCTACCAGAGCTCCTAACATCTCAAGCATGTTATTAGAAGGGACCAATCCCAAAGAAGGACATTGTGCTTGTTAAAATGAAGGTTTAGTGAAAAGAGTAACCCACCCCCCCAATGAGATGCATTGACACAGTGGCAAAAACAATGGGCTCAAACATAACAATTATGAAGATAGCACAGGATCAGGCAGTGTTTCTGTTGAAGACAGGGTTGATATGAGTTGGAATGAACTAAACAGTACCTGAAAACAACGATGTCTGAAGATTTCCAAAAAAGTGAATCTGACAATTTACTGGAGACACAGAAGAGAGCTTTTATAAAAGAAAGAAAACGGGACAGGACATTTCATCTCATCCTTATGACTTTTGGCACAAGGGGTTGATTTTGATGTTGTGTAGTTGTTAAGTGCTGTCAAATCAGTTCCTACTCATAGTGACATTGTATAGGGTTTCTAAGCAGCAACTGGTGGGTTTGAACCACCAAATTTGTGGTTGACTATCCAATGCTTATACTTCAGTACTACAACAGGACTCAGAGGGGTAGACTGGTGTTTGTGGTGGTTATGTGCCGTGAAGTTGGTTCTGACTCACAGTGACACTGTATAGGGTTTCTAAGGCTGTAAATCTTTATGGGAGCAGAAAGTCTCATCTTTCTCCTGCAGAATCCTTTCAAATAGGTAGAGAAGCTTCCTAGCTCTTTGAAAGAATACAATATAGTGGGTTCAAGAAAGCATGACAGTCTTAATTGTCAAGACATCCTTTCTTATACATATGGATAATTGCTAACTATTACTAATATCATATCTGTTTTCGTTACTGACCTGAACAGGTTCACCATCTACTTGAACTTGGCCAGCAATTTCCATCATGTCCAAAGCCAGGTGACAAATAGATCGTGCATGGTGGATGCAAGGTTCTGGTAAACCACTCACAGTCATGTACTTATCACCAACAGTCTCCACCTAACACAGCACATATGTAAATAGCCGTTGGTTAGTAGTAAAACAACTGTTTCATTTGCAACTCTTACACAAAAAATGTTCTACCAAGGCTACCAATACCTTTAAACTTTCCTAGCTCTTAATTCTTTTAAAATCATAATACATTCAACTCAAATATGATAAAACCTAATTTAAAATTTACACACACAGCACCTGGAGTTTTTTATTATAGTCAGCTAAAGAGGGGGCATTAAAGGAGCTCCGGTAGCGTAGTGGTTACGAATCGGGCTGCAAACCGCAAGGTCAGCAGTTCGAATCTACCAGCTGTTCTGAGGGAGAAAGATGAGGCTTTCTGCTCCCATAAAGATTTACACCCTCGGAAACCCTGTACAGGGTCACTATGAGTCGGAACCGACTCCACGGCTCTCAACAACAACAACAACAGGAAGCACTATTTTCCCACATCAGATTTTACGTTCCAGTGTTGTTATGTGCCATCATGGCGATTCCACCTATTCGTAGGAGTCTGGTGTAGCGCTGTAGATTAATGGGCCAGACTGCAAAGCCGTTTGAACTGCAAGGTTGGTGGTTCAAGCTCACCAGTGGCTCCTCAGAAACCCTATACAGGGTCACTACGGGTTGTGCTCTTTAACACAGCACTTAACAACAACATTTAACTCGACAGCACATAACAACAACAACAACAGAGAGAGTAGAGCTGCCCCATATTGTTTTTTAGGTGATAATCTCTATCGACGCTGTGGGCTAATGCGTTAGACTGCAAAATCGTTATGAACTGCAAGGTCAGTGGTTCAAGCTCACCAGCTTCTCCTTGGAAACCCTATCTTGTTGTTGTTGTTATATGCTGTGGAGTCGGTTCCGACTCATAGCGACCCTGCACAGGGTTTCCAAGGCTATTAATCTTTACGGGAACAGAACGCCTCATCTTTCTCCCGCGGAGCAGCTGGTAGTTTCGAACTGCTGACCTTGCGGTTCGCAGCCCGATTCTTAACCACTACTCTACCAGAGCTCCTGGAAACCCTATACGGGTTGCTATAGGTCGGAATTGATGGCACTTAACAACAATCTTTATCGAAGCAGATCAACAGATTTTTTTCCCCCATGGACTCGCTGGTGGGATCAAATTTCAGTTAGCAGCTAAATACTTTACCATTTCGCCATCTAGGCTTCATTTGTAATCCAGTGGAATGTTCTGTTACGTACATCCACCCTTCTTATCTGGTGAAACACTGACAGTTTGATGATACAAAAACCACTGTCTGGAGTTCATGGCCGCTAATTATTAATTTTTATGATGTGCTCATCAAGTGCTGCATTGCACCTTAGAGGAAGACTGTAAAATAAGTAGTTCTTGTAGATCCTACATGCCTAGGAAAGGTTTACCTAACATTCTTCCCTTTATAAAGCAATGGTTCATTGACTTCATTTTTCCAATAATATATTTGCTTTTATTGAAGCAGAGGACAAAATGCCATATACAGTTTTATCTTCAAGCTGATGTTATCTGAAGGCAAATCTGAATGCCCAAGATCCCTTTCATGCTTATGACATTTTTACTGTGCATTTACGTATGTGAGTAAAAATGTTTCTTGAAGAGCACGGAAGCAAATGTTGCATTTATACTAAATGCAACAAACAACCTGCATAGATTTGTTATCCTAAAGTGCAAAGAAACTACTGAACATTTAATTTTTTATCAAGAATCATCTGCTCTCTGAAACATTAATTTTGGTTACAAGGAATAGAAAGTTTTATCAAAAGAGCTAACTATTTAAGAAAATGGTATATACTGAATAAATGGAAGCTTTCTCCAAGGCTCCAGTCGCTAAGTCAGAAATTTATGAGCAGCTTCATCCACTAGAGGGCAGGCTATCAAAATCTGGACTTTGAAAAGCAATGTATCAAGCTATGAAGGTTACTTGATACAAATCCTGCCTTCTATGTGGAAGAAAGCTGGATTCAATTCCTGGCCAACACACCTCATGCTCAGCCACTACCATTTGTCAAGGTGCCTTGAGTATATCTATGGTGATAAAAAGATTTTAACAGAGTTTTTAGACCAAGATGAACTAGGGGAAAAGGCCTGATGATCTACTTCCAAATATCAGTCAATGAAAAAACCTATGGATCACAATGGTCTGATCAGCGGGATGGTGTAGGGCTGGGAAGTGTTTTGTTTTGCCGTGCATTGGGTCCCCACGAGTCAGGAGACAGTAGCTAACAGCCACAACAACAGCAGATTATGATGAGGACTTGCCTTATAAACATATGGATTTTTCCGCGAATCAGTCAGTGTGTCAAATCTGGTATAGAGGTCATTGAGAAGGTTGACAATCTTCATGGCCCCTTCTCCAGATGCATGCTTGCTACAGAATGTGTTGAATCCCACAATGCCACTGAAGAGGATGGTCACATTGTCATATCTTTTGGCAGGCACTGGGCGCTTATGTCTCAGCTCATTGGCAACAGATGGCGGAAGAACTGAATACAGCAATCTATTCAGTAGAAAGATAAGAAAGTCTATGAGAACTGTTAAAAAAATTTTCATATTTCTATTTTCCTTGTCTTTGAAAGTCAATATTATTTGTAGTACCAACATCTAGGTTCTGATACTCTCTAAAATCAACAGAAGTTATAACCCATATTTATAATTAGTCATAGATTAAAGGTAAATTATTTGTTCATTTAAATCACTTAAAAACATCTCCACACCCATACCAAATCAAACCAAAATAAGACAAAGCAAACAACTAGCAAAATAAAGAGTTTTCACTTGTATACCAAAATTCTAGGTCTGCTGTTACACGAGGGGGCTTTAAACAGTTTAAGGAAAGATGATAGTAAAAAATAATGCATGAGTCTGTGGGCTCAGGACCGTAGTCTCAGGGAACACCATGGCCAGTTGAAATAACATAGTCCATCAAGAGCTCATGAACAGCCATCTAAGGTACAGCTACTGGTCTCTTCATTTGTGGGGGGAAATAAAAACAAAACAAAAAAACTGATGAAAATTGAAGATGCTTAGAATCACCTAGTCCAATACTCCATGTCAACATCAGTCATCATGACTCTAAGACCAGAAGAACTAGGTGTGTTAATACGTTAACAGCTCTGAAAGAGATCATGTTAGAAAGTCCTGGATACGATGGGAGAAAATGTGGAACAAAACCCAAATTATAAAAAAAGAAGACCCGGCTTACTGGTCAGAGAGTCTTGAGGACCCCAAGACTATGGTCATTGACTACCTTCCAGGCTTGCAAAGGAACTCACTCTCATGGTCCACTTTTCAGCCCCAAAGCACATATATAAGAGGGACAACACTAGTATGGTATGTACATGATGGAATTCAAGATGGAAAGGTCAACATTTACCTAAGGAAAAAGTTGAGAATGGCTAGGAAGGAGGGTGGAACAGAAATGGGAACCACAGAGAGGAAGTGGAATAAGTGTTGTTGTAGGGATAGAATTGCAGTCACTGAGATGAAACACAGTATATGATTTGTTGAATGTAAAACTGATAATATTGTCTGTAAAACTTCATTCAAATCACAATAAAAAGTTAAATTAAAAATAAAAAAGGTAACAGAAAACTTTTTGAAGTCCCCTCCAATTTACCATACTATCACCCAGCATGTCACTGTTAGCATTTGAAATAGTATGAATAAAAGATTGCACATTACAAATCATCTCTCTCAGTAATAAGAAATGTATCTCAATTTTTAAAAACTAGTGTTATAAGAAGCAGAACTTGTCTCGAGTTTCATTTATGGGTTGCTCCTACATGGAAGGAACCGACAAAGTAAGTGGAGAGTGGAAGATATTTTCTTTCTATAGGCAATATTGAGTCCTCTATGATTTCATCAGAAGTCCCAAGGAAGAGCAAATGGCTAAACAAAAGGTTAGAGGTTCAAACTCACCCAGAGGTACTTGAAAGATACATTTGGTCATCTACTTCTCAAACTTTGCTGTTGTTATGTGTGCCGTTGAGTCAGTTCTGACTCATATCAACCCTGTATAAGCTTTCCAAGGAATTTCTGGGGGGCTTGAACTGCCAACCAAGTAGTTAGCAGTTCAGTGCTGATCCTTCAGCACCTTGAAAACCTACAGAGCAATTCTACTTTGCACAGATGGTATCTCCATGAATCAGAATCAATTTAAGTACAGTAAATAAGGAAGACTGTAGAAGAATTGATGCTTTTGAGTTATGGTGTTGAAGGAGAATATTGAAAGTGCCATGGGCTGCAAAAAGAACCAACAGATCTGTGTTGGAAGAAGTGCAGCCAGAGTGTTCCTTGGAGGCCAGGATGTCCAAACTTCTTCTCTCATACTTTGGACATATTGTCAGGAGGGACCAGTCACTGGAGAAGGATATCATGTTTGGTAGGGTGGAGGGTCAGAGAAAAAGAGAAAGACTTCCAGCGAGATGGACTGGCAAAGTGGCATCAATGGGCTCAAGGGTGGCAACAATTATGAGGCTTGCCCAGGATTGGGCAGTGTTTCGTTCTGTTGTGCATAGGGTACCGACTCAATGGCACCTAACAACTACATGGTAATATCAGGCATCATGCTGAGAGGGTAGTTAAGTAAGTACAATAAGAACAGATCAAGTTTCCAGGAACGAAACTGAACCAAAGGATACTTATAAACTCTTGATATGAATATTCACAGGGACAAATGACATATCTTTCCTTCATAGAGTCAAAGGGCATATCAAGTTAAGTTTAAATCTATGAAATGCAGTTGAGCTCTCAATAATTTTTCTAGCCATGATACAATTTCTCCAGTATATAATTTGTAACTTTTTAGTAGGAGACAGTTTATAAAATATTTTAAAGATATATTTGCATATGTAATATAAATAGAACTATTTAGAAAACCAACAGCAAGTGTTTTATCATTAAATTACCTGGAAAAGCAAGTATCTATAAAAATATGTTCTTGATCTAAAAATTTTTTTAAAATAAAATAAGAATTCTTTTAAAAAAACTTTCTGGACACAGTTTACTTTATTGATAGTACATGACAAGGTTGAGCTCCCTAAACCCCTCTACTCCAGGAGATTTGAATGGCAACTGTGTCAAGAGTGGGATATTCTTAACTGTGTTGGGGGATCGATTTGGAACATTGGCTCCCCAGCTGCTGAGGACCTGTCTCTTCATCTCATGCTCTTCTGGTGAATGGTGCTGGGGATGGGAGTCCAGGAGGCTCTTATTCCTTGGAGGCCATATGGACCATAAGTCACATTGTTGCCAAATTCATTGTTATACCAGGAAATGAATCAGACAAAGTTCAGGGCAATGCTAGTCCCAGCATTCAAGGTGGATGACAGGGTGTCACTGTTAAGTTATAGGAGACAGCCTGGTCTTCAGTATCGCTCAGGATGCCTTTTAGGGTTTCACCACCTCCTTGATGTCATGATATTTAGCAGTTTTCTCCAAGCAGTAGGTCAGATACATGACTGATACACTGGGGCTAGGGACATAGAAGGCCATGCAGTTAAGTTTCCCATTCAGCTCAGGGAAGACCTTGCCCACAGTATTGGCAGCCGTGGCAGATTCTAGGCATCCCCCAAACCATGACACTAGAGTCTCCAGAGAGGTGACAGTGATAGTGTGGGCTGTGGTCGTGATCCATCCAGATGCCAAAGTTGTCATGGATGACGTTGGCTGAGGTACAAGCAAATGGTGTTATAGGTGGTATTTCTGGCAATCTTGAGAGAATTGTCATACTTCTTGTGATTCACACCCATCACAAACATGAGGGAGTTGGCAGAAGGGGCAGAGATGATTACCCTTCACCGTTGTAACTCGGGAATACACCTGGGACTGCCCCAGAAAATACAGCTGTCTGTTGAACGGGGAGGAGGAGAGAGCCTAAAATAAAGATTCTTGAGGAGATTTAAATAGCACAGAAATTAGATAGTTCCAGAAAGCCAAACATAACATGGAGAACCAAAACAACAACAAAATATTTCTGTGATAAGTATTTATCAGCTGTTGCTGTTGTTGCTAGCTGCTGTCAAGTCAATTGTGACTCACGGTGATCTCATGTGTATCAGACTGGAACTGTGCCATGAAATGGTCAAGGCTCTAAGGTTTTGGACACAGATCACCAGGTATGTTTTCCAAGGTTTCTCTGGGTCGTTTCAAACCACCAACCTTTTGGTTAGCAATTTAGTGCTTAACCGTTTGTTCCACCTAGGATTGTTCTCATATTAAAGGTAAACCCCTTGTTCCATTCTCAGTACCTTCCAATTTTGGAATCCTGGTCTATGAAGACAAGGAAGTATACTACTTAAGCTGATGGTTTAGGATCAAAAGTGAAATAAGAGTTTGTTCAACACAAAAAATATTTTCACATTTGAAGTGTTCATTCATAACGGTATCAGTATCTACTAACCGATAACTAACTACCTACTACCTAATGTTGAACCACAATACAAAGAAATTAAACACAGTTTTCTAATATAACAGCCAGAAGAGGATACTAACTCAAACTTGAAACCAATGACTATGAAGCCATAGTTGTAAGTACTATGTTACAAGGTAGACAAGAACCAGGGCAAAATCTCTGGTGAACTTTAGTAATTTAGTGGCTTTAATTAATATTTGGAAACAAAATTAAGCTTTCTTCATAAAGTGTGTTTTTGAAACATATTTGTTCAAATGTATTATTTGAAAATGGAGTGTAATTCTTAGATCATTTGCCCGCTATTTCAAAATTTTATCAACCATTCATGGAAAAACAATATTTTGGTATTTTTCCAATGAATATTATGTCATATTTTTATAATTTGTTGTTAAGTGCTGTCGAGTCAGTTCTGACCCATAGCGACCCTGAACAGGGTTTCCAAGGCTGTAAATCTTTACGGGTGCAGAAAGCCTCATCTTTCTCCCACAGAACAGCTGGTAGTTTCAAACTGCTGACCTTGCGGTTTGCAGCTTGATTCGTAACCACTACGCTAGCAGAGCTCCTTATTTTTATAATTACTAAGACCTAAAATGAGGAATGCAATAGCTTTGCAGGATAAGTGCAAGACTATAAACCACAAATTCAGCAGCTCGAGCCCATCAGTCACTCCTCAGGAGAAAGATGAGGTTTTCTGTTCTCACAAAAAATTTTAAATTAGACCCAGAAACCCTATACAGGGTTGCTACGTGTTGGCATTGACTTGACGACACTTAACAACAACAAGAAGACCTAAAATAACTCATGGTCAAAGAGTAAAAATATTATTTAAGATGAAAGTTTAGTTCCAAATTACGCATCAGTCTAATCCTCAGCACGTGGCCAGGCCCTAGCATATAGAAGATGTTCAGTACATAACCTTTATATGTAGTGGTCATTGTGTGTATAAAGGACTTTAAAATATTGGTATTAAATTCATTCTAAAGAGATTTCAGAGCGATGTTTTAGAGTTTTTCTTTCAACTTTACTTCTAAAAATAGAAGACCTAGTTTTACTACCATTCAGATCGATTTAATTCCATATGCATAATTATTTTATTAAAAGAAATGTGGGCAATTTCATCTATGACTACAGAGTTATGGGCCCCATTATTTTTAGTCTCATTATCAATTTTGATTATAGTTATTTTTTTTTAGCTGCCATCAAGTCAGTCCCCAGCCTGTAGCAAAGCTGGAAACAATGAAACAAAATTCTGGGCTATCAGATCTTTGTGATCCATATGGTTTTCACTAACAAAGTTTCAACTGTGAATCACCAGTCCTTTCTTCCTACTTTATTATAGGAGAGGCATCCTGGTGTGGCACTGTAGGTTAATGCGTTGGAACCAAAAGGTTGGTGGGTCAAACTCATTGGATGCTCCTAGGAAACCCTACACAGGGATGATATGGGTCAGCACAAATTTGACAGCACTTAACAATAACAACAACTATAGGAGAGTAACAGTATAGTAAAAATAGTAATTGTGCCTTTGTTTAACCACACAGATAAAGAGCTTACGTGTCTGTCTTCTTTTTTTCATCTTCCAGGGCTCTTAATGTAAGCTGCAGCCTGTCTGTGAGGATTTCCAGTTCCTGGGTCAGTTTGTATTCCTCTCTGAATTGCTCTCCCAAAAGGACAAGGTCACGAGTAGCATCATGCAGAGGAATGTCACTCAAATACAGTCCTCTCCTTGTTAAATCATCCAGATTCATCACACTGATACAGGGAAAAAGGTACAAAATTAGCCCAAACCCCTGTGACATTGTTGTTGTTGTTGTTAAGTGCTATCGAGTCAGCTCTGACCCATAGCAACCCTGTATAGGGTTTCCAAGGAGCAGCTGGTGAGCTTGAACCACCGACCTTGCAGTCCAAATGGCTTTGCAGTCTGACGCATTAGACCACAGTGCCACACCAGGACTCCATGTGGCAATACAAAGGCTTATTATAGTTAAGAAATATAGTTCTGCCACCTTCTATCATTCAAAAGCTCAGCTGTAATGAATGGGTGCAGAATGCCTCACCTTTTTCCCATGGAGCAGCTGGTAGAGTTGAACTGCTGACCTTATGGTTAGCAGTCCAACTCATAACTGACTATACTACCAGGATTCCTCCAGGGGTTTAATACAATTGTAATTTATTATAACATTGTTTACTTCTTTCTTTTGAAGACATATTTCTATCTGGGTAATGATGTTTCTTTTGGGAATTAGTCCATTTTTGAAGTCCTGGTAAGGCACTGGGGGATAAAGCACTGGAACACAAGGTCGGTTTGAACCACAAGTCAGCAGTTCAAACCTACCAGCTGCTCCTTGGAAACCCTATGAGTTGGAACTATGAGTTAAAATTGACTTGAACAACCTTAACAACAACAGTCCACTTTTTTTTTTTTTTTTTAATCAATCATATAGCTTTATGATTTGCTATGCCAGGAATGACAAATTGAAGAGGAATGGTGTCACATTCATTGCCCAAAAGAGCATTTCAGGATCTATCTTGAAGTACAATGCTGTCTGTGATAGTATAATATCCACATACATATAAGGAAGACCAGTTAATACCATTATTATTCAAATTTATGTACCATCCATTAAGGACAATGCAGATAAAACTCAGGAATTCTACCAACTTCTTCAGTCTGAGGTTTATCAGACATGCAATCATGATACATTAATAATTACTGGTGTTTGGAATGAAAAAATTAGAAATAAAGAGGAAATCTCAGTAGTTGGAAAATATGGAAATATGGCAATTTGAAAGAGAGCTACCTTGCCAACTGGTTGAAAGAAATCCATATTTGTGCCCATTCCAAAGAACGATGACCAAATGGAATCCAGAAATAATTTAACAATATCATTAATATCCTATGCAAGTAAAATTTTGCTTAAGATAATTAAACAAACAAACAAAAAATGGTCACAAATGCTTTTTTGACAGGGAGCTACCAGAATTCAAATAGGATTCAGAAGAAAACCTGGAAGGAGGGATATTATTGTTCATTTCAGATGGCTCTTGACTGAAAGCAGAAAATACCAGAAAGATGTTTACTTGTGCTTTATTGACTATGCGAAGGCATTTGACTGTATGGATCTTAACAAAGTATGGATAACATTGCTAAGAATGAGTATTTCAGAACACTTCAATGTGCTCATGAAGAATCTGTACTTAGACCAAGAGACAGCCATTTGAAGACAACAAGCAGATATTAGATGTTTTAAAATCAGGAAAAGTGTGCATCAGGATGATATCCTTTCATGATACTTATTCTCTCTGTATGCTGAGCAAATAATCAGAGAAGCTGAATTATATGAAGAATAATGTGACATTAGCACTGGAGGAAGGCTCATTAGCAACTTGTGTTATGCAGATGACACAACCTTGCTTGCTGAAAGTGAACCCAAATTCACTGCCATCTAGTCAATTATGACTCATAGGGACTCTCTGTAGGATATTTTAGGCTTTAAATCTTTCTCCTGTGGAGCTACTGGTGGAGTGAAACGGCTGACCTTGCAGCGAGCAGCCCAACATGTAACACCACTGGAAGTGGAGTGGAACAGTCCACTTTTGATTTATTGATAATCTTGTGAATGATTGCTTTTCCTTTTTAGAAGAGATGATTTAAAATTTACATTCGCCTTTCTCCCTCCTGGGCCATCTTGGTGTCTGCTTTGGTGTCTGCTCTTGGTTGGAAGCCATCCCACACCTAATGCGGGAAGATTATGGCCGCAAAGGAGACGGAAAAAGCAGCTGGAGTTAATCAACGCTAGGTTTTAACTTGTTATAAGAAGTGGGAAATACATGCTGGTATACAAGCAGATTCTGAAGATGATCAGACAAGGCAAAGCAATACTTGTCATTCTTGCTAACAACTGCCTGGCCTTGAAGAAATCTGAGACAGTTCTACGCCATGGTGGCTAAAACTGGTGTCCATCACTATAGTGGCAACAATATTTAAATGGGCACATCGTTCGGAAAATAGTACAGAGTCTGAACAATGGCTATCATTGATCCAGGTGACTCTGATATCATTAGAAGCATGCCAGAACAGACTGGTGAAAAATAAATCATGGTTTTTGTTTCATTTAATAAAATTGGCCAGGGCTTGTTTATAAATAAAAACAACAACAAAAAATATGCAACCAAAGTCTATATACGTCTTCCCCATATATTTTATGCAACATGCATTTTGGAGTCCTGGTATAGCATTGTGGGCTAAGGTGCTGGACTACAAAGTCATTTGAACCACAAGGTCAGTGGTTCAAGCTCACCAGCCGCTCCCTGGAAACCCTATACAGGGTCACTATGGGTCAGAAATGACTTGACAGCACTTAACAACAACAAAACATGCATTTTTTGAGTTACTGTTTCTTTTAGGTCTAAATTCTTCTATACTTTTGTTTTCTTATACTAATTTTTAATTTATTTAGAACACTTGAGCTTGCTGACTTTTATGCATCTTTATAATTACCCAAACTATTTCTGGAAAAAAATAATGTTTATGAATTCAGTAAGATTGTACAAGTAAAAATGGACTATTTTGTTTGTTTATAATTTTACTCTGTGATTACAATATATTAAGATTATATTATTGGCTTGAGTTGTTTAAATGCAAAGTAATGACCTTTGGTCATTTGCTATAATTATTTCTCCAAAATTATCTAATTAAGATATTACTTTACTGAAGAATCTTCGATAAATAAAAGATCTCCCTGCAATATATTACCAGCAGTGCTGTCCATAAACCAAAGCAAGAATTAGTTGAGAAATGATCAAAGAGATTACTAATGAAGTATATGGACACTTTATGTTATTTTGTTAAAATGAATGTGGAATGCAAAATCTACTTGTTGAAATCAACCCTTTTGTAAATTGGTTATTTGTTGATTAGTGATATTGAGTCGATTATGACTCATAGCAACCCTGTATAGGGTTTCCAAGGAGCAGCTAGGGAATTTGAACCATTGACCTCATGGTTAGCAGTCCAGTGCTGATCATTCAGTGTCACACCAGATTATATTGCCTCCTAAATATCATAAGACCTGTTCATGACAAAGGTATAAAAACTAAAAGTTTAAAATGAAGACACATGGTTACAAATATTCATATTGAACTAGAAAAGGTAAATTATAAAACTATTTTTTTGAAAGCAAATTTATTAGTTTAATTGAGTTAAGATAGCAGGTGGACAGATTTCAGTTGAGCTTCCTAACTAAGGCAAATAGGAAAGAAAAGACAGACTACTTCTGAATATTAAATCACTGAAAACATTATGAAAAGCAGTGAAGCACAGTCAGATAGCACCAGAATATTGAATATTGAAACATGATGAAGAACACCAGAATATTATCAGATATAGTGCTGGAAGATGAGCCCATCAGGTGGAAGGCACTCAAAATACAGCTGGGTTAGAGCTGTTTCTTCAAAGTAGAATTGACTGTAATGACAAGAATGAAATAAAACCTTTGGGACCTTCATTTGCTGATGGGACACAAATCAAAATAAAGAGAAACAAGTGTAATTACCAGCTGGAACATGGAATGTATGAAGTATGATCTAGGAAAACTGGAAATTGTCAAAAATGAAATGGAACACATAAATATTGACATCCTAGGCATCACTCATCTATGCCAAGAAATTTGGAAGACAACTATCTGGCCAACTGATTGGAAGAGATCCATATTTGTGCCCATTCCAAAGAGAGGTGATCCAACAGAATGCAGAAATCATCCGACAATCTCTTTGACATCCCATGCGAGTAAAGTTTTACTAAAGGTAATACAGAAATGGCTGTAAGCATACACTGACAGAGAACTTCCAGAGACACAAGCCGGATTCAGAAGAGTAGGCAGAACAAGGGATATCATTGCTGATGTCTGATGGATCTTAGCTGAAAGCAGAGAATATCAGAAAGATGTTTACCTGTGTTTTATTGACTATGCAAAGGCTTTCAATTGTGTGGATCATGACAAGCTATGGATAACATTGTGAAGTATGAGTATTCTGGAACACTTAATTGTGCTCATGAGGAATCTGTACCTGGACCAAGAGGAAGCTGTTTGAACAGAACATGCGAAAACTGAATGGTTTAAAATTAAGAAAAGGTGTGTGATAGGGTTGCATTCTTTCACCATACTTATTTTAACCTGTATGCTGAGCAAATAATCCGAAAAACTGGGTTATATGAAGATAAACTTGGCATCAGGTTTGGAGGACGACTCATTAACAACCTGCAATATGCAGATGATACAACCTTGCTTGCTGAAAGTGAAGAGGACTTAAAATATTTACTGATGAAGATCAAAGAGCACAGCCTTAGGTATGGATTACATCTCAATGTAAAGAAAACAAAAATCCTCATCACTGGACCAATAAACAACATTCTTATCAGTGGGGAAAAGATTGAGGTTGTCAAGGACTTCATTCTTCTTGGATCAACTATCAACGCTCATGGAATCAGCAGTCAAGAAATCAAATTACATATTGTATTAGGCAAATCTGCTGCGCAAGACCTTTTTAAAGTGTTGAAGAACAAAGAGCAAAGCTTGAGGACTAAGGTGCGCCTGACTCAAGCCATGGTAGTTTCAGTAACCTCATATGCATGCGAAAGCTGGACAGTGAATAAGGAAGACCATAGAATAATTGATGCCTTTGAGTTATGGTGTTGGAGGAGAATACTAAAGGTGCCATGGGATGCCAAAAGAACCAACAGATCTGTGTTGGAAGAAGTGCAGCCAGAGTGCTTGTTGGAAGCCAGGATGGCCAAACTTCGTCTTCCATATTTTGGACATATTGTCAGGAGGGAACAGTTGCTGGAGAAGGATATCATGCTTGGTAAGATGGAGGATCAGAGATAAAGAGGAAGACTATGTCATGTATTTATAGCATCATATTAGACATTTTACAGAATTGCTTTCCTGTTCTATATGATGCTTCATTTGAAGGTACAAAACTATAGAATTAGGTGATGATAGGTTTGATCTTACAATCTAATAGCCCAAATAATCAGCAAATTGATTAAGGCATAATCGTAAAATACAATAAATCTCTTCTAAGCATATTGGCATTAGGAGATTAATTGAGCATATTCATATTAAATGAGATTAACTGAGATTTTACTCAGCTCAATTATCAATACTCAAGGAAAACAGCAGTCAAGGATGAGTTGCATTAGGCAAATCTGCCGCACAAGGACTCTAGAGAGTGTTGAAGAACAAAGATGTCAGTTTGAGGATGAAGGTGTGCCTGGCACAAGACATGGTATTTCAATAGCCTCATATGCTTGCAAAAATTGGACAGTGAATAAGGAAGACTGTAGAAGAATTGATGCATTTGAGTTATGATGCTGGAGGAGTATATTGAAAGTTCCATGGGCTGCCAAAAGAAAAAAAACTGATCTGTTTTTGAAGAAGTACATCCAGAGTGTTCCTAAGAAGCCAGAATGGCCAGACTTTGTCTCTTATACTTCGGACATATTATCAGGAGGGATCAGTCCCTGGAGAAGGACATCATGCTTGGTAAAATAGAGGGTCAGCAAAAAGAGAAAGTCCCCCAAAGTGATGGATTGGCACAGTGGCAGCAGCAATTGGCTCAAGGGTAGCAACGATTGTGTTTTATCTGTTATGCATTAGTTTGCTATGAGTCGATACCAACTCCATGGCACATAACAACATAAAAAAGGTTGTAAAAGATAATTACATTTCAGAATATGTTGATGCAATTGATTAAAATTTTATTGAATTCCTTTGCTAGCTAAACATGGGTAATTTTATGAATTACAATTAATCTAGAAGTTATTACCTTGGTGAGCACAGAAAAAGTATGCTATCTGCCTCTGGTAAGTAGATCATTTGACCCTTGAGACGTAGGCAGCTGATCTCAGTCCCAGTCAGTTCATCTTCACATTCTAATTTCTCTACATCCAACAGTCCTTCCTTTAAAAGAGAAAACATGTCCATTAACTAGTGCTTTAATCCATGCCCAACAATTTAGCAAAGAGAAAGACACATGCTTCATTTCCCACCAAACCATGAGGGAGAATAAGTATCAGTTAGAAGTGAAGACATTTCCCCAGATTTCTGCCAGATAGCAGGCATACTGTTTACTTTACAAACACTAGAGGCAAGCGAATTGACCTTTGAACCTAGAAAGACAATAATTGTGCTATTGTTCACATATTTAACACTTCTCTGAATTCTTTTTCTGATTTTCCAGTGTGACTACAAGACATCAAACTTTCCAAACTCCTACACCTGCATTTATAGAGTAGATGAAAATATTTGGTTCTATACACATAAAGCATGTTTAGACAAAATCTTTTGGAAGGCTGAAACAAGGACAAGATGTGCACTCTGGGAAAATAACTCATATTAAATTTATATCAGAGTCCTGATGTGGTGTTGTGGGATATAGCACTGAACTGCAAGGTTTGTTTGAACTACAGGGTTGGAGGTTCAAACTCACCAGCCACTCCTCAGAAACCCTACACAGGGTCGCTATGAATTGAAAATGACTCGATGGCACTTAACAACACCACATCTATATCTGTATCTATCATTTTGCTCAGATCAACCATCAACACTCATGGAAACAACAGTCAAGAAATCAAATGACATATTACATTAGGCAAATCTGCTGCACAGGAATTCTCTAAAGTGTTGAAGAACAAGGATGTCAATTTGAGGACGAAGGTGTACCTGACCAAAGCCATGGTATTTTCAGTAACCTCATATACATGTGAAAGTTGGACAGTGAATAAGAAAGACCATAGAAGAATTGATGCATTTGAGTTATGGTGTTGAAAGATAATATTGAAAGTACTTTGGATTGCCAAAAGAACCAACAAGTCTGTGTTGGAAGAAGTATAACCAGAATGCTCCTTAGAAGTCAGGATGGCAAGACTTCATCTGTCATACTTTGGACATATTATCAGGAGGGCCCAGTCCCTAGAGAAGGAAATCATGCTCAGTAAACTAGAAGGTCAGGGAAGAAAGGAAAACCTCCTAATGAGATGAACTGGCACAGTGGAAGCAGCAATAGCTCAAGTGTAGCAAGTACTATGCGGTGGGTATATAAAGAGTAGTGGTTTTTTTTTTTCTATTATGCATAACGTTACTATGAATCGGTACTGACTCAACAGCAGCTAACAACAACAACAATAACATTATCGAAAGAAAAGAAACTATGAAACCTAGGTGATATCTAGATTTTCAAAATAAAGACTATTACCATTTTATGTTCCCTCAAAAATTACCGAAGCACACTAAACAATAAAAAGGGATACAAATCAGTAATTTACTTGAAGCGTATGGAAAAGAAAAAACAAACTTCACAAATTCTGGTATTTCCAAAAATTAGGGGAAATAAAAGATGGTAGTTTTGTCAGGCAGCAGGGACCACACTAAGGCATTCTCTAAAACTCACTCTTTTGTTAGTTCTGTTCAGCTGATAAAGTATCATTGCTTCTGATGCAACCCAAAAATCACTAACAATGCCTTTTAGGTAGGTCTGACTTTGAGGTTTGATTTTTATTTCTTTATGCCTTTTCCATTTCTTAGGATGTGGACATTAAGTAAGCAAGTTAAGTCTGGACTAACTTGTGCTTACTCATCAAAGACTCTGCTTCTAGGTATGGTTGGCTTCTGTCTCTCCTTGAACCCTACAGCATTTACTAGTTAAAATACTTAGGATTTGATATAAATAACTAATGAGTCTTTCAATTTGATTGTTGTTGCTGTTAAGTGCTGTTGAATTGGTTCTGACTCATAGTAACTTTCCAAGGAGCAGCTGGTAAGTTTGAACCACTGACTTTGTGGTTCAAATTGATCTGGAAGCCCAGTGCTCTATCCCACAGTACCACAAAAGGAGTCCTTGATAGGAACAAAATAAGTAGTATGCAAAGTAAACATTACCTTAGTTGTGTGAACTTACCATTCTGTAATGAAGAATTTCACATGGTTTTGACAGATGCAGTGAAACCTATGTGAAATTGTTCACTGAAGATCAGTAAGTGAGCAAAAATAAGCCCATGCTTACTTTGCTTATTTGGTAATCCACCCCCTATCCCAGATGAGATAGTAACCAAATTTCCTCCTGACCACTTCTAATTTGTAACATGTCTTACTTACTTCAATTTAATGAAATAATATAATAATTACCTTGCTTCTCAATACAAAAACCGTATTAATGTGTGAGAGGATCCCATGGAAACTAATGTCAATATGAGGACGAACCAGAGAGAAGACAGACAAAAGGCTGCAATTTCCAGGCTGAAGCTAAAATGCACAAAAAAGAAGAAAAAAACATTTTTATTAGTTATGATTTGATCTAAAAAAAACAAACAAACAAATTAAACCAGTTCAATGGCTTTAACAAAAAGAAAATTATGATTATTTTATAGGAAACTTGGCTAAAAACTCAAATGACCTATGCAACTCAGCTTTTAAATGGACATAAACTAGCGGCATGAATATGCTACCTAATATGGATTCAAATGGAAAATGGCAAATATAAACTAACACAAATAAGAAAAAAAGCATTTACAGAAGAAGAAAGAACAAAAAACTTATCTTTTGAAAAACAGCAGGACGTATTAAATCTCTAATGTTCAAAATGAAGTTTAAATGCCCAAACCATTCGCAAAACGTCTCAAAAATTTTATCAAGAAATGGGTAATAATAATGTTGCTGTTTTTAGTTCTCCTTAAGTTGGCTTCCACTCATTATCATCTTATGTATACCAGAAGGAAATTCTGCCTGCACCTGCACCATCCTTACAATCGTTGCTATGTTTGAGCCCATTGTTGCTGTCACTGATTTAATCCCTCTCATGGAAGGCTTCTCTTATTTTCATTGGCTCTCTCTATCTAACATGATATTCTTTTCTATGATTAGTCTTTCCTGATGATGTGTCCAAAGTAAGCAAGTCCATACATTGTTGTCAAGTGCTGTCAAGTCAGTTCCCTCACAGTATTTCTGTCTATGGTTTCCGAAGAGTGGCTGGTAGGTCTGAACTGCCGACCTTGTGGTTAGCAACCCAGTGCTTATTCTAGAGTGACACACCAGGACTCCATCACTTCTAATGATAGGTAATATTTATGGAGTGTTTACAATGCAGAAAGCACTGGATTTATTGCTCCTAATGTTCTCTATCTGCTCATGTCATAACAAGGTGAAATAGGCAGAGAGAGGCGAAGTAACTTAGTCATACAATGAGCGAGTGGTGGAGCCAGCCAGCAAAAGAATCGACACTCTTTATACGGCACACTTCAGCTTCCAAATTTATAGGTCTTTTGCCCTTGAATTATACAGATTTTTCTAATTTTAAGCAAAAATATACCTCTGAGCACATGTCATGACAAGTCTAAAAATTAATAGATGAAATAAAAGAGAAAATAATGGATCATAAATTTTAACAAAATAATTTTATAAATGGGTCTAAATAACACAAGTGAAATGTAGGTTTTCACCTTAACAGTTGTCTTCTGTTGCTTTCCCTACTCAACCCCATGGTAATTTCTATGTTTTCCTGTTCAGTGTTCTTTGATTTTTGTTGTTGTTATTATTTTTCTTTTAAATGTCATCTTTTCCTTAACATGTCAATGTTTGATTTTGGAAGGTATTTTCAGCTAGAGAAAACATTGGTGGTTCAGTAGTAGAATTCTTGCCTTCTATGCAGAAGGTTCAAATCTGCTGCACAAGACATCTTTACAGTGCTCAAGAGCAAAGATAATTCGTTTGAGAACTAAGGTATGCCTCACACATGCCATGGTATTTTCAAATACACATAAAAGTTGTACAATGCATAGAAGGATTGGTGCATTTGAGCTATAGTGTTGGGAAATAATAATAAAAGTTCTGTGGACTTCCAGAAGAACAAACAAATCTGTGTTGGAAGAAGTATAGCCAGAATACTCCTTAAAAGCCAGGATAGTGAGACTTCATTTCTCATACTTCAGATATATCACCAGGAGGGCAAAGAACATTATGCTTGTTAAAGTGGAGGGTCAGCAATTAAAAAGAATGAACATCCCAGATGGATTGGCACAGTGAAAGCAGCAATGGGCTCAAGTGTAACAACAAGTTGTGAATATGGCACAGGACTGAACAGTGCTTCATTATGTTGTGCATAGGGTCGCTATGAGTCACAACCGACTCAATGGCACCTATTGACAACACCATGTGGAAGGATTGGTTTGATTCCCAACTAATGTACCTCATGAGCACCACAACCAATCTGTTTGTGGAGACTGGCATGTTGCAATGATGCTGAAGAGATATCAGTGGTGCTTCCAGACTAGTAGAGACTAGGGAAAAAAGTACGGTGACCTACTTTTGGACAATTAGCCAATGAAAATCCTAGGGATCACAACATTCTTTCTGTTGTGCATGGGGACACCATGACTCAGTGGCCAACTCAATGGCTGCTGACAATAACAAAGCTATCCCATGAATATTTACTCAATGAATGAACAAGTGAAGGCTGAATACTGTTATAAAGTTACTCATTTTTTCATTAAAACAAATATACTATCTCCACATAATCTTCCAACAATCCCTAAGTGATTAAATGAGAAAAATAAATAAAGAACTCTCCTAGGGAAAGTTGCAACATGCTCAAATACATCTGTTGTTGTTGCTGCTAAGTGTCATCAAGTCAGTGCCAACTCATAGTGACCCTTTATAGGTATGGTTGGTAAGTTTGAACCACCAACCTAGTGGTTAGCAGTCCAGTGCTTATCCTACAGTGTTGCAACAGGACACTAAGCTCAAAGTTAAACAAAGTAGGTGATCTATGAGTGTTTGATGCATGAAACGCACTACGAAGTCAAAGAGGTTAAATGAATTGCCATTGTAAAAGTGGTGTCTTTATGGTTTTTTGTCTCAGGTCCCATGAAAGTATAATGTCATTTTACCTGAGGGAGCACTCTGTAGATGGCATTGCCACACTGGGTGACCACAAGATCCCGGTTAAATATTATGTGAAAAGGAAAAGCTTTGCAGAAGGTATATGGGCTGATGCGTGACTCCTGGGTACCATTTTCTTCAAATCTGTCCAGATCTTCATAAAAATCCTCTTCTTTTGACTCCTTTTCTTCAATTAAAAATTGAGTATGATCACATTCTTCATTTCTTTGTTGAATAACCTACATGTCAAAAGAGGGAAATAGCATTAGTGGTTGGCATTTCAGTTAAATTAAGACAAAGTATCTTAGAAACTGGGATGAGAGCTGTGTTTAGGGGTTTAGTTACAGAAGTTTAACACATATGCAGATACTAAGTATATATAAAGTAGAAAAAATATTTCTGAACATTGACTTATGAAATCTGCAGACTAAATTGCAGATCTGGTACCAGGTACTCACTAGTTTATATGACTTTTTTGGCAGAATTAGGAAAAAGCCACCACTTATCTTGGTGGGCTCAGCCACCTCAGCCAGGCACATTCATACAGTATGCATGGTCTTTCCATCTAATATGATTAAAATGACATTTTTAAACAGTGGAAAACGAAATGAAAAGCGTACAATACTATTTTTTTATCCATCAATTGGCAAGTATATAAAATTCTAATACCAAATTGAATAAGACACAAAAAGAGATATCTCGAATGCAGCTAATGGGAGGGTATTTTATTATTTCTGAAGGATAGCAAGATGATATGTAACAAAATATTATCTATCTGTAACAAAATTCTTTTTTTAATAGTCCTGGGTAAATTTCAAACCTAGGAACTCATAAGGAAATAAGGGTAATTGTGAGCAAAGCTCTATAATCTAAGGAAATAAATAAGTTTAAAATATATTCTCCAATGGCAAATCCATTATCAAGGCAAAGGAAAATTTGTTTTCTTCTGAATTAGAAAAAAGTGACTAACATTTATTCTCTTACAAAAGCACAAACTCTATTGTAGCAGGAGCCAGATCCAAAGAGTGAACGAATAAGACTTTATTCATTTATTTATTCATAGTTGCAGCTAAATAAAGACAAAATATGGATGATTTTCACTTTTTTGTTCAGTTCACTGATTAACTGTGAGCCTTAAAGAATAAAACAACCATTCTATATGCAAAGGCATATTGCCTCATGGCAAAATTAGGATATCATTACAATTTATAATTTGTCTCACTAAACTACTGCATTGTTACATAATTTTAGATTTTTGTTACAATAAGGTTAATTCCTCTAGAGTCTCATAGAAAAAACAAAGTCAACCTTAACATTCAGGCCTAATGTTAATCCTCTGCTGTGTTTCTCTTTTGACTAAAATAATTATATGTACCTACAACTTTTAAATTATGCCCTTATTTCTGCTTTTTTATGCTTTGATCAAACTGGCAAAACAAACTGCTTTTTAAATTCTATTTTAAAATTTTCATTGGCATATCACTTCCTGACATTAACTAATATCTCATATATGTTTTGTACTATCTGTAGCTCTGGGTTTGCACATTTGACATAAAGGTATTTCAGGAATATAAATAATATCTTTTGAAAAAATTCAGAATATATTTTAAATATGCAATTTCAGAAGTCTATACTGAATACTTGATTAAATAAGAGCCAAAGAGAACTTAAATACTGTATAAAGTGAACCACATAAATAATAACAATTTGAGTGTGAATGCATTTCAGTGTCAACTTCCTATGGCTTATATTCTAGTACACTAATATTTTGTTGGTTGTTGTTAAGTGTCATCGAGTTGGTTATGACTCATAGCAAACTGCAATTTCAAAGTAAGTCCATATTGTGTTTCTTTTCTAAAGTTTCTATGTACCTAATTAAATTTAAAAAAAAACAAAAAACAAAAGCAATAATATATATATTATACATAAATCCCCTAATACAAGTTCTTTCAATGTAGTTAAAATGTTACTTTACTATTTGGTTTAAAAAATTGGAAATGAGAAGCATTTACTATTTTTATTGAATTCCATTGATAGTCAGTCTTAGAAGGAGTATATCCCTTTGTCCAGTGTTTTAATTTTAAAATGTCTCTGGATTTGTGTCATGTTACACACAGTCCTGCTTTCTAGTTGTGAAAAACTGATGCAACTGGGAGTCACCAATAAGTGCCAAGTAAAGGCTATGACTGAAACTGATTCCTGAAGGAAAGACAAATAAGAGATACAGTGCGACTTTACTAGGTAAATATGTGGGATGCTTTTCTAGCACAACACATTTAAATGTTAGGACTTTTATTTTGTATTATTTACTATCTTAAGAGTTTTGGACTTCACATGCAGGATAGAGCATGGCTATGGGACCCAAGATTTTCCGTAAGTACCTAAAATTTTCCTTATGGAAAATCTTCCCACCTGGCTCATCCTTGGGGTCACTACAAATGGCTGTTAAAGTGAGACATGCAGAGCAGGCAAAAAGCAGCTGACTAGGGGAGATTAGGTCAGAAATATAGAAAAACAGTGGTTCTCTTTGTTGCGCAGTTGCAGTATCAGTACTTTGAAATTATCACTCTACCCTAACATGTTGCTGTGGTCCATTGAGTTGGTTCTGAGTCATAGTGATCCTGTATAGGGTTTCCGGGCAGCAGCTGGTGGGTCAGAACCATCTACCTTGTGGTGTATCCTACAGTGTTTATCCTACAGTGCCACACCAGGACACCATCCTAAGGCATATAAATATATATAACATGTGTGTTTGTGTGTGTGTGTTATCAATGTTGTTGCTCGTTGCCATACAGTTGATTCTGAGTCATGGAAACTCCATGTGTGCAGAGTAGAACTGTACACCATAGGGTTTTCAAAACTATGACCTTTTGGAAGTCAAACACCAGACCTTTCTTCTGATACACCTTGCGGGTGGGTTTGAAATGCCAACTGTTGAGTTCATAGACCAGTGTTTAACCATCTGTACCACCCAGAAACTCCTGCATTATTCTCAATAGTAACATAATTTTTAAAGTATTAAAAGCTGGCTCTTTTCATGAAAGTAACTTCATAAAAAAAAGGAAAAAAAAGAAACTTCTAGTTCACAAAATGAAATATTACAACTATTTTTATGGGACAGATAAAAAATTCACAAGGCAACAATAATCAGTAAAACAATAGTTTAGATAATTTCTCATGTTTACTATATACTTTATAGGTTTTAGATACTCTGAAGACAGTAGTTCAGCCAGTCACAAACCGTCTTGGTTTCCAGCTTGTGTGAACATATGGAAAATGCAAAAGCAATTTTATGCTGCTTTAAACAATTAGAGTCCTAGTGTGGTGCTATAGGATAGTCACTGAACTTCTAACTGCATGGTCAGTGGTCCAAACTCACCAGCCATTCCTAGAAAACCTTATACAGGGTTGCTGAGTCAGAATCAACTTGATGGCACTAACAACAAAAACAAGCAATGTGTAACTAGGAAGAAAATTCTTCCACAAGGGAAAAAAATCCCGTAGAAAGCATTCCAGAGCCAAATATAGATTTCTTATGTTTCTGCTTTTCTGGCTTATGTATACCATTAGCAAAGTCTACTAGGAAAAATGACTTTAGACAAATGAACAGAGTATCATTTTTAATAATCTAAATGTAATCTGTCTTCAGCAGAGTCTCCAGTACTGATCATTACCTTCATGTCTATTTCAGTGCCATGGATTTGTTGAGCTACAGTTTTAATGATTCCAATGACAATATCCTGAAGTCCTTCTCTCTCTGAATAGTAGTGCAGAATGAGTCCTTTGCCCTTTTCTGCATCCGTGCACCTAAAGGAAGGTGCACGCATACCCGGGTAGATAGTAGCAAGATGGTCGTGCAGAGCATCAAGGTTCTTCAAGGAAAAGGAAATAATTGTGAGTAAATAATGCTTTCATAATAACAGCTGAATTCAGGAAAACAAGGTACAAAGACACAAAACTGAGCTTTTTTGGACAAATCAACCAAGTAAACATTCACATAGCACATTCTGGGCTTGCTTCACTGAAGAACTCTCAAGAAATCTAAACTAAAACAGAGTAATTAAGAAAAACAACTGTGGCTATTAATAGAAAACACATTTAAAGTAGAATAAACAAGTGCAATGTAAAAAAATGCCTAATGGGGAAAAAATAAACAGTTTTTCATAGTTAGGGCCAAATATATGGATATTTATAGACTTTGGGACAGCCATATATGCATGTTATAATAAGCAATAAGAAATATCCAAAATGACCAACCACACATTAGTTACAATTAATTTGTACTACAATCTTAAATGTTAATGTTTAACTCTGAAAACTATATTAGAGCTATAAGCATATGAAAAAATGATTGATTTGCTTTCCTAAAATACCATTTTAGACATGAAAAACACATTTTTGAAATGAAAGTTTATAACTTCTCCATTTCATTAACAGTCTTTAGACAAGGCTACCATTGAAAACTGAAGATCTTACAAAATTAATAAATTCACCAATAATTAGCTTCTAATAGCCTTGATATAAGTTTAGAATATGCCCAATTCTCTTCAGAGTCCTGCATTAAATATACAAGGCTGATTTGCATATGAATTGGCAGAAGTAAGAATGTAGACTGTACTGTTTCCTTGGTCCAATGTGATTTTCAAATTAAATTTAGTTCATTGAGTGATGTCTGTGTATGTGGTACATATATGGTAGGATACACACAAAGCGCAGGATGGTGTGGGATTTAAGATCAAGGTGGCTTTAGGTTCAAATAGACCTGGGTTCAAATCATGACACTGCCATTTTCTTGTAATATAACAGATCAACACAACTTTTAAAAATTTATTTCTTCTGATAAACGGAAATAACCAAAATGATATGTATAAATATCTAACTCCCTGAAGATGCTCACATTCTGGAACCTGTGACGATATTGCTTTGCATAGCAAAAGATATTTTGGAAATGTGATTCGGTTTCAGATCTTGAGGTGGGAAAATTGTCCTGGATTATTCAAGTGCTCTTTAGAAACCCTATAGAGGGTCACTAGAAGTCAGAACTAACTTAAAGGCACTTAACAATAATAAAATCCAAGTAGGCTTAATATAATTACAAGAGTCCTGAGTTCTTAAAAGCTGAGAACCTTTCCAACCCACAGTGTGAGAGAGATGCAGCAATAGTAGGTTACCAAGATAGTAGCACAACTAGGCTATAATGCCATGCTGTTGGCTCTGAGGTGTAGGAGACGATATGTAAAGAATGAAGACAGACTTTTAATAGCAAAGACAGCCCCCAGAAGACAGCCGATGAGGAAACCTGGACCTCAGCTGCCCTACAACAATAAGGAACTGAATTGGCCCAACACGTGATGAACAAGAAAACAGATTATCCCTTACATAAAAAAACACAGCCCTCTCTGATCCCTGTAAGTCCTGTTATAGGCTTCTGAACCATAAAACTGAAAGATAATAAATTTGTATTGTTTCAAGCACTGATATTGTGGCACTATACTACAGAATAAGGGATATGGTACTATGTCAAGTGTATAAGGATGACTGTAGAAGAATTGATGCATTTGAGTTATGGTTTTGGAGAACATAGTAAATGTACCACATGGTGCATACTAAATGTACCATGGACTGCCAAAAGAACCAACAAATCTGTATTGGAAAAGTACAACCAGAATGCTCTTTAGAAGCCAAGATGACCAGACTTCATATCTCATACTTTAGACATATTATCAGGAGGGACCAATCCCTGGAGAAGGACATCATGCTTAGTAAAGTGGAGGGTCAAAGAAAAAGAGGAAGACTTCCAATAATACGTATTGGTACAATGGCAGCAGCAAGGAGCTTAAGTGTACTAGCAATTTTGAGGTTGGTGCAGAACCAACAGTGTTCCATTCTGTTTTACATAGGGTCGCTATGAATTGAACTAACTTGACATCAATTAACAACAACACGCAATACATCTTGATTGCATGTTTGATCAATTTCAGATTGAAGAAGTTGGTAGAATTCTTCTATTTTATCCTCACTGGCTTAAGTGGTTGGTGCATAAATGTGAATAATAGTGGTATTAACTGGGCTTCCCTGTAGGTGCATGGATATTATCCTATCACATACAGCATTGTATCTCATGACTGATTTGGATATGTTCTTTTTGATTATGAATGCAACACCATTCCTTTACGATTTGTCATTCCGTGCATAGTAAACCATGTGGTTGTCAGATTCAAAATGGCCAATCCCAGTCCATTTCAGCTCACTAATGCCTAAGACATCGATGTTTATGTGTTCCATTTCATTTTTGACAACTTCCAATTTTCCCAGATTCATACTTCGTACATTCCATGTTCCGATTTTCAATGGATGTTTACAGCTGTTTCTCTTCATTTTGAGTTGTGCCCCATCAGCAAATGAAGGTTCTGTGGCCTTTTCTCCCATGAGCTTAGCTCCATTCACGTCATCATGGTCAACTCTACTTTGAGGAGGCATTTCTTCCCCAGTCACGTTTTGAGTGCCTTCCAACCTGAGGGGCTCACTTTCCGGCCCTGTATCTGACAGTGTTTCTCTGTATTCATAAGGTTTCAGTGACTAACGATTCGGAAGTAGTTCATCACTCTTTCTTCTTAGTGTGTCTTTGTCTGGAAGCTCATCTGAAACCTGTCCACCATGGGTGACCCTGCTGATTATTTAAAATACTGGTGGCATAGCTTTCAGAATCATAGCAACTCATTCTTCTTGGATCAACTATTAACACTCATGGAAGCAGCAGTCAAGAGATCAGATGACGTATTGCATTAGGCAAATCTGCTGCACAGGAACTTTTAAAAGTGTTGAAGAGCAAAGATGTCAGCTTGAGGACTAAGGTGCACCTGACCCAAGCCATGGTATTTTCAATAACCTCATATGCATGCAAAAGCTGGACAGTGAATAAGGAAGATCGTAGAAGAATTGATGCTTTTGAATTATGGTGTTGGAGGAGAATACTAAAAGTGCCATGGGCTACCAAAAGAACCAATAGATCTGTTTTGGAAGAAGTGCAGCCAGAGTGCTCCTTAGAGGCCAAGATCTCTCATACTTTGGACATATTGTCAGCAGGGAACAGTCGCTAGAGGCGGATATCATGCTTGGTAAGATGGAGGGTCAGAGAAAAAGAGGAAGACCTCCTACAAGGTAGATTGGGCAGGTGGCAGCATCAATGGACTCAACTGTGGAAACAGTAGTGAGGTTGGCCCAGGATCAGATATTGTTTCATTCTGCTGTGCATAGGGTCGCTATGAGTCAGTGCCGACTCGATGGCACCTAGCAACAACAAACAACAACAACAAATACTATGGAAGTTTGTTTCCAAGAGGAAACTAATACACCAAGCAAATAGTAATCTATCAGTAACTGGCCATTGCTATTAAAGAAAACACAAAACAGTTTCAGAATACTCTGGGAATAAAAGAATACATATAAAACGAGGTGTTAGAGATATGTCAAACTGAACTCTAGCTTTAATAACAAACGTCTCAAAGAGTTTGTCAACTTATGTCTCAAAGAGAAATATCAAATAAGATAGCTACAAGGAAATGAAGAGAATATAAGATAACATTATAGATACTCAAACTTAAGCAATATTTAACCAAGGCACTAATGGCATTAATTTTCTATCCTCTTGTTTCATCTATTCATTTAACCATTTGGTCACTCTATATAGTTATTACTTTATCCACATCCATTGATTGTCTGGCACTGTATTAGTGCAGATTAGGGGCAGGATAAAGAGTTGGGGACATAGCTGCATGACACAGACCCTGGCTTTAAGCAGTTCAGAATCTGTATCATAACCAGATGTGCAGAGCAGTTTTGGTGAACAACTACTCAAATTGAAATGAGAGGTTAAAAAAATGTCAAAGTGAAGACAAAACTTGAACTAGGTCATTAATGGCTGACATCCTGATCAAGATCAATGTGTCAATGATCTCAATTTGGGTCAATCTGTTTTCTTTTTGTACTCTCTTCATGCATAAAGTTTTGTTCTTTCTTGAAAATTTTCACAAGTTGTAATGATTGAGTCAGGCTAGTTTTTAAACAAAAACAAAAAAGCATCAATTTATCTTGATTGCCACTAAGGTTATTATCAATTAAGAGTTGCCCATTAGACACTACCTCGGTATTAGTCGATTTAACCGACACGTCCCTGAGGTTATATGTGGTTTAGTAGAATGAGGGATTCTTCCTGTGACAAGTTCTTTTCATAGGAAATCTTCCCTGAGAAGGGAAATCTAAGAATTGTTTTTCACAGCTCTCACATTAATTGTACTTCTACTAATGTTGAGAAAACTCTGAGTGAAAACTTCAAAGGAGTTTGTTGTTCATTGTTTATATTTTTTAAATTTCCATTTCCCCTCAAAGCCAGAATTGAACTTTTTGCAGCATTTATGAAGTTTCCTAATATAGTCAGTTGAACTTTTTGCTGCATTTAGGAAGCTTCCTCATTATTGTGGCTCACTAATAAGAGGGAAATTTTAATCAAACCATGACTTGAAATATAGACATTTTTCAATTTTTCCTCTAAAAGTAAAAAATTCATGTCTATGTCACTATCATAATCATCTTTTTCATGTATCATATTTTTAAATTATTAATAGCACATTTGTACATGGAGTCCAATGATTGGCATGAAGCAGAAACAATTAGCATCATTTGTGTTATCTTTTATGGGAGTCCTGGGTAGAGCAAATTGTTAAGCACTCAGCTGTTAACTAAAAGGTTGGCAGTTTGAGTCTACCCAGAAGGAACCTGGGAAGAAGGGAATGGCCAGTGACTTCCGAAAGTTCAGACAGTAACACCCCTTATGGGGCACAGTTCTACTCTGACACATAAGGGGTTACCATGA